AGCCTTGTGTGACCGAAGCATCTGCAGCGCCCTCCTGCAATGAATCTGATGCTTAGGGCTTGATTGAATATCGCAACATTTAGCAGTGCTTAGGCACCTTCCAAAGTGCAGGCGGAGGTGAATCCACGATTGACGCTGTCAAGCGAAAGCGATGGGCAATGTATAATCCGAAACAAAAAATCAGAGTTTTTTTAAATCAAATACGGGCAAGGACGCTACTAGGGGCTCCTGGCATCGCTACTAGTAACAAGAAGCTACTAAGGGGCTCCTGGCCATACTACTAGAAGCAAGGACGCTACTAGGAACAAGTGCATCGCTTCTAGTAACAAGTGCCTTACTAGTAGTAACAAGAAGCTACTAGTAGCAAAGGGCATCGCTACTAGAAGCAAGGACGCTACTAGGAACAAGTGCATCGCTTCTAGTAACAAGTGCCTTACTAGTAGTAACAAGAAGCTACTAGGAGCAAAGGGCATCGCTACTAGAAGCAAGGACGCTACTAGGAACAAGTGCATCGCTTCTAGTAACAAGTGCCTTACTAGTAGTAACAAGAAGCTACTAGGAGCAAAGGGCATCGCTACTAGAAGCAAGGACGCTACTAGGAACATTGATGCAGAACTGTCTCCCTGGAGCGACTTTGAAGGCACAACCGATGAGCGTAACAGTTGAACCCGTTTTCTCCCACTGCGTGTGTAAACAAGCAAACCACATGCTTGCGTTGAACCACGTTGAACCTCCTCACAGCCCAAAGTCGACTGTGGATGAACAGTCGCAGCTGAATAGTTCATTTGGTTCGTAGGTAGAGCGCATTCATGGATCAGTTGATTCCCATTGGTTGCCCAGAGCACTGACTATGTGGGCCTGCAAGAAAGGGTTTTCCGGTTTTCCACTGGCTTTCTTTTTCGGTCCAAGTCCACAGATTTTATGCCGCTGGCCTCCATGGCTGGTAGCAAGAGGACGCTACTAGTAGCAAAGGGCATCGCTACTAGGAGCAAGGGTGCTACTAGGGGCGCTCCTGGCATCGCTATTAGTAGCAAGAAGCTAGTAGGTTGGAGGCCATCGCTACTTCCTCCTCTTCCTCCCGCCTCCTCCTTCATCACCCTCCTTCGGACGGCAGAGTGGAGCGTGCTGAGCTTCTACCGGGTTCGGATGGGCTTTTGTAGTAACAAGGACGCTAGTAGTAACAAGGAACACCGGGCAACCGCCACATGTGGCAGAACGGGTGTGAGGCCGCATGCCAATTACATGTCAGAAGACATGTCGCAAGGCGCCAACGCGCTCCACTCCGCCTTCCGAACCCATAAAAGCAATTTGCTTCTAGTAGCGATGCCAGGATCCCCTAGTAGCGTCCTTGCTCCTAGTAGTAAGGCCAGGAGCCCCTAGTAGCATCCTTGCTCCTAAAAGCTAACGTGCTCCACTGTTGGAGCCCATAAAATTCCAACGCGCGCTACTCCATATTGGAGCATGCCATGCCGCGCCGAATGAGCAGCTGTCACAACACATGCCAGAACGCATTCCAGGACGTATCCGAGCCTTTATGCTAAAAGACGTGTCAAAACACACAGGGGACTTGATGCCAGACTGCCTTGATTCAAATCGCCTGCCAGGGTGGGGCTTGCTTGAGGTAAAGCACCTTTTTGTTTATCATTCCTGTTTATTTCTTTTGGGGACATGTTTTTACAACCTTGGACTTTTTGACGCGAAACGTTCCACATTTTTGGCATTTCCCTTTTCAACTCGACTGTGGGTCTTTAGCGCAACGAATGTGGCTCTCACTGCGCTATCCATGTGTTTAATGCTGCTGAATGGTCTCTATACGGATATGGGGAGTTGCAAAAAGACATGGGGACATATGGGGAGATGTTACATACGACAAACGCTTTCTTGGCTGGTACAGCCGCTATTGCACCTTTGGCAGTTCTCCCCAGAATTGTGGCGAATTCGTGGCCGATGCTGATAGGGATTAACCACGCTCCTTCACCTACGACGCGGTGTTGACGTACAGTCTTAAGCCTTGACTTTGTGAGAAATTTTGGAAACTATACCGCTTGTTACGTTCGTAGCGTCCTTGCTCCTAGTAGTACGGCCAGGAGCCCCGTTCGTAGCTTCTTGTTACTACTAGCGATGCCAGGAGCCCGTAGTAGCGTCCTTGCTCCTAGTTTGAAATTTCAGACCTGTATAAACTGTTCTAGGAACCATTCTCGACTTAAAACATCCTGGAAGTATGTGCAGATTTGTCATGTTTTGCTGTGAGGCCAAGCTGTTGAGGTCCTCCGGCAAGTCTGATTGGGAGATTGAGACCTATCTCAACAAGATCTTGGAGCGCCAGTGGCGACCTCAAGCTCAAAACATCTCAAAACATCTCATATCAGTCATTGATTCTTCAATGCCCAATTCGCCACCAGCTTGCTGCAAATCATCCATCTTTTTGTTCAGCATGGAGCTAGGTGGGATGAAGCAGTGGCCAACAATGACATCAAGGACAGAATGCCAAGATGCTGGGAAGTAAACAACTCAACAATTGAAAATAATTCAGATGTTTGATCTAATCCATTTGTCACAGGTTTCATGGATATATATTTCACAAAAAGGACAAATCGGTGGAATGCTTGACCCTTCAGTGCCGCTAAGAAAAACGCTTTCTGGGAAGCTTTTTGGTTGAACACAAACATGATTTTGGAGGATGGCGAAGTGAAGCCACCAAGAATCACCATTGACCAGATCCGTGCATTCCTGCAGCGCGCTGAAAACCAGGCAAGGCTAGCGGTTCACTGAGGCAAAAGAGTTGGGGAGAGATTGAACACGAAGAGGCAGAAGTTAGATGGTGCTGTGCCAGTTTTTGAAAGCCGCAAAAGCCAGAAGCAACATGAAAAAAGTGAAACACCCTGCTGACACTGAAGGAATGCTTTGAGTGTTTATTGTTCTCACAGGCTGGAAAGCTCTTGTGAGGCTGCGCACGTGATCAAATCAGAAGACAGATTAGAATGAGACATGAAAACGAGAGGTGACAATCCAAATGATTTGAATGCTAGGCCCCACAAGAATGACATGTTTTAGTTGTAGAGCAGTGAAGTTTTTTGGCTAGCAGAGAGGGTATTTCATTTGATATAAGGGCGACATATATGTATAATGCATATGTATAGTATATATGCATATATATATACAAACTGCTGCTGTCTATGCCGTACAATATATGCACATTCATTGTTTGCTGTCAATGCCGTTTTTGGGTAAAGTCTGCAGGGATGCACATGTTAATAGTTGTTTGATGAGCATCCTCTCATAATACATCCCCTGTGGGTGGCGTAAGCAGCAGGATAAGCAATACCTCAAGCACTTTGGACTACTCTGAATGTCTGGATTTGTCCAACGTTTCCCCTTTTGCCCAATTCAGTGCTGTTTCACTGCCCTTAGTGGAGAAAGATGCCACAAGGGTCCTCACCTGGGCCACAGAGAAGAGCATCAAATGCGTTTCAACAAAGAAAGTAAATGAGTCCAAATTTGAAGTCCAAATCATTCAGTGCTTTTTGTATGTAATATTAGGTTGGAGGCCATTGTTTCATTTCAACTCACGCAGTGAGAGTCCGATTTGACTCGATCAATGACAGCACTTCGTGAGGTCTGATCAGTCTGAAGTGACTAAGGGTCTTAGACTTTCAAAGGAACCATCCGTTGTAAGCAGAAGACAACGGTCCTTTCTTCGGATGAAATTAAGTGCATCTTATTGGACAAATAGACCGAAAGGGCCGTTTGTGGTCACAGAAGCACCGGGGGGAATGGTTGCTTCTTGTTACTACTATTAAGGCACCTGTTACTACTAGCGTGGCACTTGTTACTATTAGCTTCTTGTTACTACTAGTAAGGCACTTGTTACTACTAGCTTCTTGTTACTAGCTTCTTAACAAATCGAATTAGTTACTTAAATGTCTTGAATGTACAGCAAAGGTGGACGCTTTCTCATGCTTTCTCTGATGCCCTGACGTCAAGCGTTCATTTTTTTCGGTCGCCGCTTTGATCCCAGAATGCTGCTCACGACGAAGATAGAAGCACCTTCTTCTGCCGCCTGGTGCAGACCCGATGAAACCCCCGTGCAGACCTGGACATGAATTACGACCGAGAACAGCTGAATGTTGACGGTTTTACAGAGAATATACTGTACATGTTAATAGCGATGACCTCCAACCTACAAGCCATGGCCTCCAACCTACTAGCGATGGCCTCCAACCCATACTAGCCATGGCCTCCAGACTGCTAGCCATGGCCTCCAACCTACTAGCGATGGCCTCCAACCTACCCATACTAGCCATGCCCTCCAACCCATACTAGCCATGGCCTCCAAACTACTAGCGATGGCCTCCAACTTGATAGGAATGGCCTCCAACCTACAGCAAGATTGTGGCATATGAAATACAAGAGTGTACAGATTGGTAGATCTCCTGAATCTCTCCCAAACTTTACGATTTGATCGCGAATGGCGCGGCAACATCACACAGTGCCACATGCGGCTTCGGGGATCGTCATGTGCGGCAAGTGATCTTGCGCATGCGACATGAATCAAAATGCAGGAGCAAGGACGCTACTAGGGGCTCCTGGCATCGCTACTAGGAGCAAGGACGGTCTTAGGTGGCCTCTTAGGTGGAGGCCATCGCAAGTAGGTTGGAGGCCATCGCTACTAGGAACAAGAAGCTACTAGTAACAAGATGTCTCGCTCAGAAAGAGTCCAGAGCACCCCACACAGTCTTTTCACAAGAGCATCACACTTTAGTCTGACCAAGAGGTGTCCGCAGATTCAGGATGTGCAGCTTATAGGCACAAGACACAAGTCGGCCACGTGACAATTGAATTGCAAAAGATGAACGATATAAAGACGCAGAGTGCAACTCAGGCACGCTTTTCCAGAGCATCAGCATGCAAAACCCCCCAAGTATTTTCTTCTCAGCTGCACACCCAGCAAACAATTGCTCATTGAATTGCACAGTCAAGTGTGAATCACTTTGATTCCTTGTGGATTTGACAAGCTTAGAATGCTTAGAAGAGGAAGGCTCCGATTGGATGCCGCAGTTGCATAGGCACGTCGGCCTTAGCAATTCAGACGAGACATTTGGTCGAGTCGATGAACTTGGAGAACAATAATTTATTGCTGAATGCTTTCAACTACATTGTTCTTTTAATTGTATGTTGGAGGCCATCGCTCTTAGGTTCTGGGCCTTGTGTTTTCAGCATCCCAATACATCGAAAAGAAACCAAGAGACATCGAAAGGGACCCCTCTGAAGGGTAGCTCACATGTGTTGCGGGAGTTCAACCCACTTTATGGCTGTTTTGCAACATATGTTTCTCAGAAACGTAAAGAATTCCTGCTGTGGCTGCAAGAGCTCTTTTGTTACTCTGAGCACAAATGCGGCCCTGCAGGGTCTGTTTCAGAGAGACTTTGTTGCTAGTAGCGTCCTTGTTACTACTAGTAAGGCACTTGTTACTAGAAGCGATGCACTTGTTACTAGTAGCTTCTTGTTCCTAGTAGTATGGCCAGGAGCGCCTCGTAGCGTCCTTTGACCATGACATTTTCCACGCTTATACTTTCAAGTAAAATGGTGCTCACAACGAAAACGCACGTCCTTGCGTGCAAAGCTGTTTGAGAACAAACAAATATCCAGGATTCAGACAACATCGGCTTGTGACGCAAAGAGAAACTGATTGAAACATACATAGAAAAGAGCACAGAAAAGGAAGAACGGTTTAATATAAACTACAGTTTGCTAGTAGGTTGGAGGCCATCGTTTTTGGGTAAAATGTTTGACACCAGAAGGACCAATGTACCGTCCATGTGTTGATAGATTTTGAAGAGCTCGTCTATTTTGAAACCAATTTTGCAAGTCTATTTCTTTTCTGAAAACACTCTGTTGCATGTGCGCACAGGAACCAAGAAGTTTTGAAAAGAACAACTAGTCCGTGATGTTTACCAAGGAGAAATTAAGTAACTAATACATGTACACAATGAAGCTGTTTGAAAGCAGCGTGCTGTCCATGATTTTGGTATACAGTTTTGCTGATCACGGCGTGTTCCCCAAACATGGTTTCATCTTGACGGTTTTTCTGCTCAATGCCTGAGAGGGCACTCTGAAATCACGAGAAAAGACGTGTTTTGAGGACCCTTTGCTGGATTTCGTTCTATCAATCTTTGACAAACAAATCCATTTCATATAGTCATATATCTTAGTTGTTTTTTTGGAGGAGGTTGTGTGACAGTGTAGGCAATGGGAAAACGTAATGCTAGGAAGAAGAAGAGGTAAGTTGTTACCTTGCTGTGCTACCAGATACTAGTTACTAGTAGTTACTATTAGCTAGTTCGCGACTAGGTGACAGATGCCGAGCCCTTGAAGAATCTGATTTTGTTGCCGTCTCTTGAAAAACAATGTTTTAGCATTTTGTTATTTTTCCTTTGACCTTTGCTTTTTGACATTGAAACTCAACCTTCCGAATGGACAGGCCATGGGTGCGGCTGTGGCGCAGCTGGCCTTTCCAGTGCCGCCCAAACATCGATTTGCAGAGGCCCCCGAGCTTTACACAGCAGTGCTTCCAAGAGCAATGGCCTCCACTCTCCTAAGTAGCGATGCCCTTCTTAGTAGTAGCGTCCTTGCTCCTAGTAGCGATGCCCTTTGCTACTAGTAGACTAGGAGCTTCTAGCTACCAATAGAAATGCCCTTGTTGGAAAAAACAGATATGGTCCAAGGCCAACCTTTAAGGACACATGCGTGTCCATCCTTCTAGTACTCAGTGTTTTTGAAGTCATGTTGCTAGAAAGGAGGAAAGCCAGCAAGGAAAGAAAGACTGGCCTAACAGCCTAACACTCAAGAGAAAAAAAGGTTCACAGGCCCTACATGTTTGGTGCGATGTATTCGACCATGTAAGGCACTGACAACACGGACGATGACGGACCAGTAAATCCGTCCTTGCTCCTAGTAGCTTCTAGCTACTAGTAGCTTCTTGTTGCTACTAGCTTCTTGTTACTACCAGTAAGGCACTTGTTACTAGTAGCGTGGCACTTGTTACTAGTAGCTTCTTGTTGCTAGTAGTAATGCCAAGAGCTACTAGTAGCATCCTTGCTCCTAGTAGCGATGCCCTTGTTCCTAGTATGGCCAGGAGCCCCATTCGTAGCGTCGCTCCTAGGCCCTGCGAAAACGGCCTGACCTTCTGTACTTGGAGACCGAGAGCGAGGAGACGTTACACTTCCTGTCAGTCTAGACCGACTTTAGCAATGGCCTCCAACCTAATAGCTTCTTGCTAGTAGTGATGGCCTCCAACCAGAGATGTTGTGAGTTACTAGAAGCGATGCACTTGTTCCTAGTAGCTTCTTGTTACTACTAGTAAGGCACTTGTTACTAGAAGCGATGCACTTGTTCCTAGTAGCTTCCTAGTAGCTACGCGAATGCAGGACCAAATCGCTGCAGTTCATATCCGTCGCGGTGTTCGTGGCACAGACCGCGTCATTCTGTGTCTTGGTATGATCAACGGCTATTTTCTTCACAAGGTGCATGCTTGGAATATTATATGATGGAAATGTAAGGAAAGGAAGATAGGAAGGTCATGAAAGGTCATGAAGTTTACGTTTTTCTCACAGGATCTAGGAACGAAATCAATCACGCGAAAGGTTATCCGTGACCCACCTCGAACAAAGAGGAAATGGACACCTATTTGATTATCTGGTGAGGAATTGATCATTCCTTCGGGAATTTGGTCTACTTCTCTGGGAATATGAGGAAAGACGTGAGGGAGGCAAGGAAACGAACGGAAGGCACACAGCACTTGTTGCCCTTGTTCCCTTCCTCACTTCTTTTTCGTTCTGTTTCCTTCTCTCTCCATCTGAACTCTAAACAGTACTCGACCAGACAACCAATGAACAGTCCATCAACAAGACAGTGCTTCCTTTTCGCAGAAGGTACTCCCACGGGAACGCAGAGGAGCAGATCTAGAGACTCGGCACGCCTTCCACGACATGAGCTTTTGAAATGTTTGGTTTTTGGCCACTCAAAATGGTGGACGCTATTAGGTTGGAGGCCATTGCTACTAGCGTGAAGGCCTATTCTTTTTCGTCTTGCTTGTCAAGGATTTCCAGACCCCAATCGAGAAAGCATTGTCAGAGATACTTTTGTTGCTGACACCGTCCTTACAACACTGCTCTTACTCTGGTAGCAAAGGCGCGGAACGCACCTTAGAAGCCTTAGCGTAGTAAAGGTCCGGACCCAAGGCGTCGTAAAGGTCCCATCGCAGTATGGGCTGCTTGGCATTCCGGGGCTGTTGCTTTCGGGGCATCAAGAATCAAGAATCCAGCCTCGCTCGCTAGGTTGGAGGCTGCTTTTGGGTTCCTTTTGGGGTTGTCTTCCGCCTTTCCACTTGGGTTCAATCAAACATTGCGGCTGGAGGACGTGGGGCAAAGGCTGAACTATTTGGATCTGATGTCGCAGCTTTGCGCCTTGATGTGATGGGGACGGACAGACACATGCCTAGGAACAAGGAGGCCACTAGGGGCTCCTGGCCGTACTACTAGGAACAAGAAGCTACTAGTAACAAGTGCATCGCTTCTAGTAACAAGTGCCTTACTAGTAGTAACAAGAAGCTACTAGTAAGGTTGGATCATCCAACACGTCCGTGGATAAACACACGCACGCACACACGGTTGGTGAGTACAGGAGCGCAGTCCACAGCCTAAAGGTATAGGTTGGGCAGATGACACTGTCGATTGAACAAATGGTCCACATGCTGGGTTCTCAGCTTAGCCCAGTTGCAATCTATTTTTTTGTGTTGTTTTATATTGTCTTTTCTTGTACTATCTTAGAATCTTTTCTTTTCTTCTCTTTCCTTATCATTTCTTCTCTCTTCTCTTTTTATCTTCTCTTGTTTGTTCTCTGTTGTTTTTCCTTTATCTTTTCTTTTCTTTTGTGTTTTCTCTTCTCTTTTCTTGTCTTCTCTTTTCTCTTTTGATTCTCTTATGTGTGTGTTTTTCATTTTACATATTCATATCCTTTCATTTTTGTTCTCTTCTCTTCTTTTTTCTTCTCTCTTCTCTGTTGAATCACCTAGGAGAACATCTATGATTGGCTTCAACATGTCCGAACTGGTGCCGGGTCGCAGGTCAATCATGTTGACTGAAGATGTTGGATCACCTAGGTAGGCTAGTAGGGGGGCTTCGTGAATCATTTGTCCACATTTGTGCAAAAGTTGCTCTATGGAAGGCATGTGTTCTGTTCAATCCAGAGTTTGCGGCCCTCAGTGCAGCTATTTTTTTGGATGACAGTATAATCCCTAAAGCTCCAACCACCTCAGAATGTGGTTGGACCCCCTGGCATCCACCCCTTTCACGATGTGGGCCAGGAGTAAAAGGGGAATGAGATTCAGATCCCTCCGAGTTTTGGCACAAGCCATGGATGAGGATATCTACGGGTCAACTTGCTCTCTTAGATCTTTGCAAGAAGCATTTTCAGCTCATGTCATGTCTTCACGAGGTCTGTCCTATTACCTGTAATAGTGAGTAAACAACTACCACTAATTTTAGAGAAAGGCCTACAACCTAACCATCAAAATCCACTGCTACTGGCAGTGGAGTAGATCTCCTAAATAGATCACTTTCCTGGGCAATGCAGCCAAGAACCTGGCGCCCTGTTGTCCGCTCATAAGGTCTATACTATACACAACCCTTGCTGCAACCGCAGGCACCAATAAAATAACTGTGAAAGTTTATGACTATCACTATGGCACTACGGCTTCTCTCTTCTCTTCTGTTTTCTCTTTTCTCTTCTCTTGTTAGTTCTCTGTGTTTTTCTTCTCTTCTCTTTGTCTGTTTTCTCTTATCTTTTCTTGTCTTCTCGTTTCTCTTTTGCTATCTCTTTTTGTGTCTCATTTTTTCTTCTTCACTTTTCTTTTAACTAGTTGTATCTTTTCTTTTGTTTGCTTCTCTTATATATTCTTCTCGTTTCTTTCATTTCTTTACTTTGCGTTTCCCTTTTTTCTTTTCTTCTTTCTTGACATCATTTTTGGTCCTTCTCTTCTCTTATCTCTGTTCTTTTCTCTTTTCGTGTCTTCTCCTTTTCTTTTGCAATGTTTATCTTTTCTTTATATATAATTTGTGTTTAAATATCTCGTCTTCTCTTTGCTCAGTTGAATTCCAATTGAATTCTATTTTTCTAAATGCATGTCAAAAGTAGATGAGACGTTTTAAATTGGTATTATTTTACATTTAATTTTACACCCTTGTTTATTCCTTTTTAACAATATTGTCTTCCCTTTTTCCCAATTAAATACGAATTGAGTTCTAATTAAACACAGCAATAATAGATGAAACATATTCAATTGATATGATTTGACATTAAACTCTACACCCTAGTTTGTTCTCTGCACATTCGAAACATATCTAACTCTTTATGGTTTTGTATAGGGTCTGTTCCATTACCTGAAACAGCCAGTAAACAATTATCACTGTTTTGAACAAGGCGTTTACTAACCATCATCATCCACTGTTACTGGTAATAGGTTTTATACAATATTGAAAAAGTGAACCATATTTTAAAATTGAAACCATATTATGTATACTATATTTTTCATTTTTTTAAAACTAAAACACAAAAATATTTATATTAGTCTTCTCTTCTCCTTCCTTTTCTTATCGTCTCTTGTCCGTTTTATTATCTTATCCGTTTTTGTGACCCTCACTTTTCTTGTAGTTTGTTATATCTTCTCTTTTATTGTCTTCTCCTTCTCTTTTGTTATCTGTTCTTTTCTTATATATATATTGTATTATCTTTGTCCAATTGAACTCCAATTGAATTCTAATGAACACATGAATTTCAAAAAGCGCGCGCAGCGCGCGCGCACGCGGGCACACGCGCGCACAGACACCCACACCTAGATTGATTGCTCAACTGAATGAACATTTCTTCAGAGACTGAATCACCAATGCAGTAGCCCATTAGGTTACTGCAATAGACCTTGGCTGATTCAAGGTCAAGGTGATGGGTCAGGTTTGAAATGTTGGACATCACTCCTTAGCACTTTACGGGAAGGTTGGAGTCACAGGTTGAAAAGCAGTTCAACAAAGCAGGTACGTCCCTTCCGGCTGAATCCCGTAGCTTCGTTGGCAGGCCTAGGGAAACAGCTGCCTTGCCCGCTGCATGCCTAAAATTAAGGACAAATTCACTTAGGGACAGGGGTGGCGCGCACCCACACACACACCAATATGACCAAACACTTGGATATCTTGACATATCTTGAGGTTAGCACAGTTGCCAGGTCTGGGTCGACTAATGTACTAATCGGGACCTCTGTCAGTTGGGTTCCGCTGGGAAAGCTAAACACAGTTCGTGGCTTGCAGAGTTCGGATGGCTCCCTGAATCATAAGAAACGACCAAAATACACAGGTTGCAGGAAACAAAAAAGACAAATTGTTCAAAGAAGAACAAACAGAGTGTTTAAAAAACAACAACACGTCCTAGAAAACACACAACAGAAAAAAACGTCAAACAAAAGAAAGACACACGTGGTCTCAAAAAACAAAGAACATGGCGAACAATTCTTCTGAAACACATTTTAAAAAAAAGTGCCAATAAAGGACACAAGACAAAACATGTCTAAAGACAAGAAGGTAAGAGCCTTAACGTCCTTTTTGCAGGGAACCGTGCGAACTCACGAGTGATTCTCTGCGCCTCTAGAGGTTTCCTGGTTCATGAACCCAAGGCGCTTCAGACGTCTTAGCCTATGACTATTGTGGCTATGGCTTCAGTGAAGGTACTCCAACAGAGGCGCTTCAGGGTTGTGGTGTTTCAAGTCAATCAATTTTGGCAGATCCATTAGCAAACAAGAGTTTGGCAGAAACCGCAGTCCGAAATAGGGCTTACAATGGGTGTCCAGACCTGGAATGCGAATGCACTCATTTCCTGAAACATGCAAACAAAAGGTACAGAATGGCTGGCTTGGAAGGTGAAAGTAGGAGACTACAGCATAAGTGCACCAACACTACCATCAATTGATCCTTGGCAGCTACGGGTATACAGTGCTGTCAAGCGCTGCACATGCAGCTGTGTTTCCTGACAACGGTCTGATTACTTCTTCGGGGTCAACCTTATGCTCTGGACACAATCTGCTAACAGAGGATCGTGTTGAAAAATCAGCGATGCCTGGGCAAAGCCATGGCTCTCCTGGTCTCCATACATACGTCTCCTCGTTCGTCTCGATGTGTTTTTCAGGAGACCTGCAATGAGTCCATTGAGGCCGCTTATGTCAGTGCCTGAAAACCACGTGTGAAAACCCAAGGGAACCTCTTTAGCCTTGAAAAGACTGTTCTCGTACAGAGCGTTTATTAAATAAACAAAGAGGCCTTTACAAAGGCCTTAGAGCAAGGACGCTACTAGGAGCAAAGGGCATCGCTACTGGGAGCAAGGGCCTTACTACTAGGAGCAAGAAGCTATTAGGAACAAGAAACACAGAGGCCATTGCTAGTAGGAGCAAGGACGCTACTACGGGCTCCTGGCCTTACTACTAGGAACAAGAAGCTACTAGGGGCTCCTGGCATGGCTACTAGGAGCAAGAAGCTACTAGGGGCTCCTGGCATCCCTACTAGGAGCAAGGACGCTATCCGACGTTGGCCACCGCCAAGGCGTACTTGCGTCAACAGTTTGCGCCTAACCGCATCATCCTCTTTGGGCGCTCCATTGGAACAGGACTGCATCTGAATCCTCACGGTTCGCTCCAAATCGCCTTGTTACTACTAGCGATGCAATTGTTCCTAGTAGCGATGCACTAGTTTCTAGTATCTTCTTGTTACTGCTAGTAAGGCACTTGTTTCGTGAATCGCTGCATATCTGTTGAACTCGATCAGATTCTCATTGTCCAACCGAAGCATTTTGAGACACTGGCTCAGGCATCAACTGATTGGCAGCGAAGCATTCATTTATAGCTTTCCGTTTATGACCTCAAACATGCATGTTTTGAAGCAAGGGCACGTGTCTTTTTCAGGTCGTTTTGTAGAGATACACCGTTACACCGTTACACTTTACACTTACGGCCAGGGCCTAAACGGGCTTTAGGGCAACCACTCACCCTTGTTACTAGTAGTAACAAGGGCATCGCTACTAGTAGCTCCTGGCATTACTACTAGTAGCATTCTTGCTACTATTAGCACATTAGCTACTAGTACTAATGCCAGGAGTGCCCCTAGTAGTACTTTCTGGTTGGGCATTTTTGTTGCGGATGTTTAGTCAAGTCCCTCCGTTTTGAAGAGGCTCATAGAGGGGACCTGACAAAGTTATTGGCTCTCATGGTTGATTCGACATTGAATTGTGGAGGACGTACGGGTGGGCCTGTCTATTTTCACATGAAATGGAGCAAGAGACTGTATTGAATGACGTGTACAGACGTTAAGGGAGTTTGTTGTTCGTATCCCCTGTTTCTTACAGCAACAGCAACAACAGCAACAACAACAGCAACTTGTTCCTAGTAGCTTCTTGTTACTACTAGTAAGGCACTTGTTCCTAGTAGCTTCTTGTTACTACTAGTAAGGCACTTGTTCCTAGTAGCTTCTTGTTACTACTAGTAAGGCACTTGTTACTACTTCAATTTCAACTTTGATGCCTGGAGGACAGACGCATTTCGTAGTACCCAGTTTTCGCGGCCTGATTGTCCACAGAAACGATATTCTTTCTACTTTCTTTGCTTACTCCTCTCTTTCTGATTTTGTGTTTTTTCACCATCATCCACTACAACAATATGTACCTTACCGCAACTTCGCCACACTACTATGAAGCCAAGTCCCGGGTTGGCCATTGGTGTCAGCAGAGAAGATCACAAGCCATTTCTATGGCGGCAAGGCAAGTCTACAGTGTGGAGACCATCGCTGGTAGCCTCCATCGCTATTAAGTTGGAGTTTAATGGCTGAAGAATACTGGCCACAACTGTGGCAGGCTTGCTGATGATGGCACCATTCGGGGACACAGTGCTTCAAACCTGCACCTGATTTCCAGTCAATCAGATGTTAAGATTCCTCATCCAAGAGTTGAATCAACACCTACCATGAAAGTTTGACAGAGCAAATCGTTTGGTTGGAACCCAAAGCGATGCTAGTCTTTGTGGCTCCCACGTTTGCATACTGCATCATGTAGCCGATGCCCTCCATATCAGAAAGCAAGGTGGCAGCCATTCCTTGGAGGCCATCGCAAGTAGGTTGGAGTCGGATGGAGGCCATCGCTATTAGGTTTCTTTTGCTTCCAGATTGGAGGCCGGCGGCCATCGCTAGTAGGATACCCCCGCTGTCCACAATGCGCATGAAGCATGGATTGACCGGCACCCTTTCGATGGCCTCCAACCTACTAGCCAACTTGCAAGTGCAAGCGCCAACACAACTAGATGGCTGTTTCCCCTTTTCGCTGTATTTTATCGAAGATGATGTTGCTTGAGTGCAAGTGCTACCAAATTATGTTCCTAAGACATAGCTTGACGCTGAGACTACAGATTCTTGAAGCCAGCGAAAACACCGATGCCGAAGTGCAACATGCAAACAGGTGCCATGTGCTTGAATATACAGCAAATCCAATATAACATGGGCCTTCTCGTGAGGGCTTTTGCACCCAACCGATGGGGTTGACGGCGATCTCTGGATGTTCTTCTCCACCGGTCTCAACCCCCAAAAAAGAAACACATCCAACAGACCAGTGAGAATGCATTTATGTACGGTATTGTTTTCATTTAGTTTATTCACTTTATATTGACGACTTATAGGCTCTTATCTATATTTTGAAACCTTTAAACTTTAGACTAGACCATTAGATGACACTTCTTTTTCTTTGTTCTTCCTTGGAAGATGTTGTAGTGGTTTCCGTTCAAAAATGCTGCTGAAGTAAACAGTAACCAGTCACCACCAGTAACCAGTTTTGCATGAAAGGACCAACTGTGGAGCTGGCCTTGCGGCATCCTGAGATCCGAGGCCCTCCAGAATGACATACAAGAGAAGACATCATATCAGGAGAAGCTTGGGAATTCACAAGGGACCAGAACGCTAGTGAGATGTCCAAGTCCATTTAATCTTATTTCTTTTTAGATCGCGAGGTTGGAGGCCATCGCTACTAGGGTGGAGGCCATGGCTATTGGGACGGACAGAACAAAGACAAAACAAGGAAGACAGGTCTTAAACTCGTCGACGTGTGATGGATTAGGCATGGTCCTTCAAAGCCCAATTGAAAGCTGTGGCCAGGCCCTTAGCCGAGCCTCCAGTGTCAAAGGTTGGCCTAAAAGGTTGACCTTTCTTCCTTTTTTTAGAGGGGGGGTACTAGTAGGCTGCTAGTAGAGGTGAGGTAGCTAGTAGGGAGAGGTAGCTACTACCTGCAAGTAGCTACTACTTAGGACGCAGGATAGCTCACTTAGTAGCTTTCAGCGCGCCCCACATCCGAATGAAACAACATAATTTGGAAGAGAACAGCAAAACTGGACTAAGATGATGTTCACTCGCTTGAACACATTTGCTTGGTGTCATTTTCAAGGATGGATTTAGTTTCCAAGCCTTTGGATGCAATCTCCTAAGCCGGTGGATTTCATTTTCAGACTGCATGGGTTTCATGATATCATTTCCAAACCCTGTGGATTTTGTACCCAAACAAGTTGTTTTTTTCTTTAAATATTGTCACGCGTTTTGTATTTCTGCCTGTGTCGTCCTGTCTCTTCAAGCCACTGCAAGTGTTAGAATTTCTCCGCTGACAACTGCAAACTTTGGACACTACAATGTTCACGATTTTCGGGCACGCTGGAATTTGCTTCTCGTTAAACCTCATTGTAGTCATGGAACTTAGTGTTCAAACTATCAGTGATATGAACTCAGTCAGTAATATCAACCTTAGTTCCCCATACGTGCACAGAGATGTGTGTAGACGCTCAGAGATTTTGCATGGCCAACCTTTCAAATGATTTGTTGCAATTTGATGAACCTTTTCAAGTTATTTGAATACTCTTGACTACATTTCATGAAATGTCCTGCTCCCGCAAATGGCGTGGTGCACTCGCATTTGTCCTTTGGGCAAGTGTGGTTGCATGCTTTTTGACAACAGAGACAACAAGAAATCCACCGCGTTCAGTGAAGCTACGTGGTCTACCTCCTCGTGTTGACGCGGGCGGAACAAACAGTTTTTGGGCAGCGGTGCAAAAAGCTGCCAGTAGGAATGAGACTGATGCCCAGACCTATTTGGAGAGCATTGTTGCGATTATGTTTTGATATTGTTGAGAAAATGAAGCAATCAACAATATTTATACTGACTTTTTGGACTATTATGTTGTTTTTGAAAAAATTGACTTGTTATACTGCTATGATATTAGTTTAGAAAACTTCACTCAATCAACTTTTTACCTTTTTTTGACCCATATCGACACTTCGATGCTAAGTCTGTTGTAAAATGTATATACTTAATCGATATATTGAAGAATGGCCATAGATGATCGTGAGGCAGTAACCAACCTTTTAAATAGGCCCCCGCCCTTGCGGAGACCACGGGTGGATGTTGTCCCAGTAACCAACCTTTCAATAGGCCTTTTCCTGTCCTCTTTCGGTCCTCTTCCTGTCCTGTCCTCTTCCTCTTCCTGTCGTTTGGTCTTTAGCATTGTGATTTTATATCTTATATCGCAGCTTTCAACGACGTGAAGACGCTGAAGAATTTTTCCTACATGAAAACTGCTAGCTGAAGAGCTGTGCTTCCCATATACACTTCCTTGTGCAAATGGCTGGATTTGCACTTGGTTAGGCCGCGTGGTGTTTGGGACAGCGGCCAGCTGGCTTGGCTACAGGTCAGAGTCGGTCAGAGTTGCAGAATCAGTTGGCATCAAGAATAACTTCTATAAAGGAACATACATACCGTTGATGATGTTTTACAATTCTCAGGAATGGTTAGGAAGTAGAAGGTAGCTAGCTTAGGATGGAAGCTAGGGCCGAGGAGAGCTCTGATTCTTTAAGGCAATCCAGCTTCCTCGAAGAGCCCTTCGCATAGTCGAAACATTTCCGAGGCTTTCATGAAGCATCATTTATAATAGATGGTTATTGAACAAGAGAGCATCTATTTATAGAGTATATATATATATATGTTTTAAAATATCTATGTTTCTTTCAAGTCTTTTTGGGTTTATGGGCGGTAGGCCGAGGAACGCTTAAGTAGCTAGTAGCAAGGAGTAAGTAGCAGCTTAAGTAGCTACTAGTCTCCGGACGCAACGTTCACGATAATGGATTGCGAGAGCTTCAAGCGCTCTCCTCGCTCCCAAGATTCGTAGCGTTCTTGCTTTGGATTTTGGGGAAGTTAAGAACGCTACGACAGTAGTACTTCAAAACCAAGAACCAAAGGCGACGGCATTCTTGATATTGCAGGCCCAAGGCTTCTTGGAGGAAGAACAAAAGGTCTAAGAGGAAACAAAGTGTCGGAGTCAGATTATTAGTAATCTCGGAATCAAATGATTAAGCCTAAACCCTATCCCTTCCGTAGCAGCCACTTGAGCTTAGTAACTAGCTACTTACCGCTTACCTACTTGGCTAATTACTCCTTTGGCCTGCTGGTGGCCTTGCGTGCGAGACCTAAGGCTTATCAAACACTTTCTTGTTATAAGAAGGGTTTGTCCAAGACCACCTCTCTGCCAAAGAGCTTTGGTCGTATATTGGGTGGAATGACCTGGACGAGCGTGCCAAATTGAATGAACCATCAACCTTGGCCTAAGATGCATTGTGACATGTTGTAGCTCCTGGCCTTACTACTAGGGACAAGAGGACGCTACTTTGTGTAGATGAATCCGGACAGGATGGATCTCTTTCGGAACTACGAGAAGATGGACCAGGCAGATTGGGATTTCCCTTGTATGGGCTGAACTGAAGCAGAGTTTCTTTTCCTTTTGCCTTCAGCTGTCCATATCAATGATCTTCCTCTGCTAGGTTGGAGGCCATCGCTAGTAGGGAGGCCATTCCATATAGGTTGGAGGCCATTGCTATTAGGTTTCTTCCTCTGCTAGGTTCGATGTCCGGTTCTTGTCATGCACGGGACCGATGATGACATCGTCCCCATCGAAAATGGCTTCTCGATCCACGAGGTTGGAACTGACACTGGGAGTTTCCAATGCTGAAAACCGTTGATTCTTGTAGAAGAGTGAATTCAAGCATCACTTCCAGATTCTTCACAAACAGCTTGCTAAGATGGAGCCTTGACGCTTTTGACTTGTGTTGCTGGTGGTTTTTGGCCTTTCTATCATGGTACCAAATGCAACATGAACAATGCAGAGCTGCACCAAAACACTGGAAAAAAGGCACCACTCAATGATGTCCCCTTGGTACGCCCAATTCCCAGGATGCTCTTGATGTGTTTCCACAGGCATGTCAAAACGCCGTGGAACCACTGTGGTTGGAGGGCTACGGCTGGTAGCCCAGCCTGCAATCTTGGCGCCTTGTGTCTTTGATGGAATGTTTAAAGTATCAGTTGTTGGACATCCTTGTATAATCACAATCAATGGTTTGCAGCACCTGTACTGGTCTTTTTCAAGCTTAGCCACAGCCAATTGTGGGCGTTTCCTTCATTGTTTGTTTGCCTAGCTTGTAGCTGCAATGCCAAGAAAGAAGCCTGCGCATGACTCATCAACATTGCATGTTCTTGCAAAAAGCTGTAACAAGAGGCACTGATGCGCTTAACATGCCCCATTTTGCTTGAGTGAAAAGATTTATTTGGACGTCCGCTTGCTTTTCATGATCTCAATTCTTCGGATCCAGGAGTCTCCAACGACTCCAAGCAAGGAAGCCAAAAAGAAGGGAGCAGGAGCTCCACAGACACTGGCGCCAAGGGCATGAGAGAGGCCGCTCAGCAGCAAAGGACAACTTCGCCAGCAGATTGGTTCCAGGCGCGTGCTTTACAAGCAGCTCAGTGTGAGATAGGCTTGGAAGACAAGGTGGAGATGACTAGCTGGGACGTTTGTCAGGGCCGTCAAAGAGACAGTTCCTTCGAATCCCTCGATTCAGAGCAAGCCTGGATGCTTCAACCGGCTTGTCAGAGTTTCAGTGCCACCGTCGCAGACACAACTGCTGCTCAACCGCCGTTCATGTGTTCTGCGGTCGGTATTGAGCAACCTACCCACTCAGCAGATAACGTTGCAACCATTTTTGAAATCCAGCAGGTGGAAAAGGTAAAATATATAACCTGTATTTTGGATGGGGGGCTGAGGGAGTCAGGCAAGGCACTGGACGGAAGGAGAGGTGTCGTCTCAGCTATGCAGCTCAAGCGCCTGGTGAGATGTCCCAAGTATATCCAACTGTATGGTTCATGTGAGTTGGCAGGGGTACTCAGGCCCTACTGGACAACGTAAGTAAAGCCGGAGCCGGATTTCTTGATGTGCGTACGCGGAATAGTAGTTTGGAGTTTCGACCAGGATGGGGTGCAGAAGACGTGAGCCGATAAAACGAACATGTCATCACTTCCGTGCAGCTGATCGAAGAACGATAGACATGAGTCTGCGCTAGTTTCACATCATGGATAAAAAGCTTCATGTCCTTCGAGACCACAATTCCAACTCCTGCTCGGTCTGTACTGCATCTCCTGGAGATACATCCGCGCTGAAGAAAAGTTGTATCCTTTGACGGCTTCCACGCTGTTATTGTGAAGCAAAACCAGAACAAAAATGTGACAGACATCAGTCAAGCGCTACTCCCAACTGTGAAGGTCGATGTGGTGGAAATTGTTTAGTTCATCCCTTGCAGGAATGATTCCCTCGAAGTCGGCGCAAACTGTGCCCCTCTGGTGTTTTACATGTCTTTTGGTCATGGGTTGATTCGTTGAGCTTGGTGTTCAGGAACCTGGATTGGGTTTCGTTTTGTCCAAATGGAGCCTCTTTGTGATATCCTAAGATGGCTGGAGAGGAGAGGACCTTCTGTGAACAACATGCGCTCTCTGGCGCCGTGATGGTGTCATGATGCGTGCTGTGATGGATGCTGTGATGGTGTCGCGAATGATGTGTCATGCCGTGAAGGCAGGTGCCATGATGGCGCCTTAAATTCAACTGATGCCGTGATGGTGTCACGACGCGTCGCGGCGTGTTGGCGTGCAATGAAAAGGTGGCGTGGCGACGCAGTAAAATTCAATCGATGCCGTGATGGCATGATGGCGCCTTAAGTTCAAGTGATGCCGTGATGGTGTCATGATGCGTCATGCCGTGCTGACAGGGAATTAGAAAGCGCCGTGATGGCGCCCTAAGCTCAAGTGACGCCGTGCCGTATCGCACCGTGATGGCGTGGCGTTGACAGGGGGCCGTGAAGTCGCCTTATAAACTCGAACGACGCCGTGATGGTGTCATGATTCACGCCTTGATGGCGTGGAAGGAAAAGGTGCCGTGATGGCGCGTTGATTTCAAATGACGCCGTGATGGCGTGCAATTGAAAGGCGCCGTGGTGCCTAAATTCAAATGACGCCGTGATGGTGTCACGGTGTGTCACGCCGTGATGGCGTGGAATTATAGCAGGCGCCGTGATGGCGCCTAAAATTCGATATTGCCGTGATGGTGTCACTGTGCGTCACGCCGTGATGGCGTGGAAATAGAGCGCCGTGATGGCGCCTTAACTCATATCCATGCCGCTGTTGAAGACAAAGGCTGGGAGGCAGAACTTCTCGCGCAGCTGTTCCAACAAGGGCCACAGGCTGTGTGGAAGAAGAAGAGTTTAAGAGAAAGGCGATTGTGGCTGGGAGGATTTTTGGCTTCCAAAGCAAATGGAACCATGTTTGTTTTATCGTCTTCTCAGCTGCAGTGCCCGCAGCCACTTCATTCAGCGTCCCATGCGAACTTGTTTTTCCCACCAGTTTTGGGAATGAGTTCGCCAGCATGTTCAACACCGGCGTCCCATGGGGAAATGCACCTTGAGAAGCTTGAAAACTTCACAAAGATTCCTGAAGTGGTTCCGCATGTTTTGCGTTGAGTTCTCTGACACGGCGCCCCATTGGGGTTGCCTTTTGGTTCTATTTCGCGGAGCGGTGTATCGTGAAAGCGGGCGCTAAATGACATGGACGGACCGCGTGCAAACAGCAGGCCACCTGGATGACGACACGGTCGTGTAGCTCGGTGATGGGGGTGTCAGAACAAACCTATTCATGACCGCGGCGCGTTTTTCCACGGATAGCGAAACTTTTTGGGGCTTTTACTTCAAGTGATTCAAGTGTTCAAGTATACGAAGAGTTGTCTGTGTGCGCTTTGGAACCTGGGCGCTGGTGCCGCTGCAGGGTGCCGTTGCCATGTGTGTGACAGTGTCTGCTTTGTAGCTTGGTGCACCTGCCATGTCTATGGCTGTGTGTGCTTTGGAGCTTGGATGCTGGATGTCTATGGCGGCGTGCGGATTGGAACCTGCAAGCTGGCGCCACTGCAGCCAGTGAGTGGGTGCCGTTGCAGGGTGCTGGCGGGGAGTGGGTGTGTGCTCTTTGGAGTTTGGGTGTTGGTGCTGCTGCAGGATGTGGCTGCAGGATGCTGGTGCCAGATATGCATGGCCGTGTTGGCGTCGGAGCTTGGATTCCGGTGCCGCTGCAAGGTGCCCTTGCCAGATCCCGTCTACGTCGAATGAAAAACAGTTAAGGGCTGCGCACATGTATCTTGTGCTATCTGGGGTATGGTGGCGTAATTGCACTTACAGTCATGAACAACTGATGGGCGTAACATAGCCATACATAGCCCTTGTTTGCTCGAGTGCAAAACTTGATTTGGACATCCCTACAATTACAAGGAACTTCATGTAAGGACTGCAACATTCGCACACTTTCATTCAAGTAGAAAGGCACTGTTTCGGCGCAAGTCCCGTGGCAACGTGGGCAGTGAATATGGAATTTGGCAAGGCAGTTGGTTGGTGGAACCTGGCGAAATTGCGTGACCCTGAGGCCACAATGACCTGCCCAACGAAGTCTGCTTGAGGCGCATGGGGGTGTCAGTTTTTGAATATCATGTCACACTGATGTCTTTAAACGTTGCCAAAATCGGTGGTGCAAGTATGTGGAGTTTCGGAACCACACCAGCCGAAAAACATGTCCACAAATCGTCAATGATGCGGCTGGCCCATTGACGTACGTTTGTCACTGTGTTTTGTACTCACCCGTTCGCTTTGCCTCCACCCTGGTAGCGGTGGCCTCCAACCTAGTAAGCATCAAATGATTGTTTCCACTGTTAGGCCCAGGGTTGTAAATCTTTACATGACATGTTTTCAATATTTACGTTGAACAAAACCGTATTCTTAGCGGCGTCAGAAGGCCTTATGTCTGTCTTGGTTTCTACCACCTTTCTCCGCGTTTTAATCCAAGAACCCGCCCACCGAATTGCAGGCCACAACCCCAAATGAAAGTACTAGTGGCTACTAGCGCCCAGCACCCACAAGGCAGAAATAGTAAACACCTCAGATTTGTTTGGTGAAGTACTAAAAAGGTTTAGCGCATACCAACTGTTCAGGCGAGTGCGTGAGTTCATGGATGAGATGGACGGATTGTCTTGGGGTGCCTTGGATCATTCCAATCGAATCATTCCAGTCGAAGTAATTTTGTTAGTACCAATGTCTAGTTGAAACTTAAGACCTCCTAGGGTGGAGGCCATCGCTACTAGTAGAAAGGCAGCGGTACAGAAACCATGCTTGTTAATAGCGAAGGGTAAACTGCGTCAAGACCTAGTCGAGCCTCATGATCCCCATTGCTACTAGTAGCAAGAAGCTACCAGGTTGGAGGCCATCGCTATCATCAGGGTGGAGGCCATTACTACTAGTAACAAGACATTTTTTGAAAGCCCGCTCCAACCGAATAGTAGCAAGAAGCTACTAGGGGCTCCTGTCCGTACTACTAGGAGCAAGGACGCTACTAGGGGCTCCTGGCCGTACTACTAGGAGCAAGTAGCTACTAGTAACAAGAAGCTACTAGGCTGGAATATTTTTGTGACCAACCTGGCGACGCACATCTCCGTGAACTTGTGACCGCCTGCACGCTAATTTATCAGCTGTGACAGGCAGGGTGGAACAAGGGTCGAACCACTGACAATAGACAACATGTTTGAATCAGAATGCAAGTGTTTGAGAGTTCTTGAGGACAACGAGTTTCTTGCAGGACATCGTGACATCATCGTCTAGTGTGGAAACCCTCTATTCATTCATAAGGCGATCCCTCCCAGATTGCAGACGATAGAAATGGCTAGTGACTGCCAATATGGCACAGTCACCCGCCTATGTGGGCTGATGAGGAAAAGAATGCTCAGCATGTTTCTATTGTGGGTGAAAAGAGGACAACCCATGCGACAAACAAAGGTGCTTTAAGCAATAGAAGAGACTGTTCATAGCTTCTTTGAAGGCCGAATGCGAATGTCCTGCATACAGTAATCATCCAAGCATTGTTTGGAATAGCTCTCGTGGGTCATTGGGAATCAGCAATGTTTGCTCCTTGTTTTTCGCATCGTTCTTTGATGTCAAGTGACCAACGACCCGAGTTTGAACATGCAGCATGGGATTTGTGCCAAACTTACAGCGACGAACTTCAACGTGCAGTCAACGACGAGTTTTTCTTAGACATGAATCTAGGAACGAAATTGCTTCTAGGTTGGAGGCCATCGCTCTTAGGGTGGAGGCCATCGCTATTGGTTTTCCTGAAGATCTAGTAACCAAATCATGAGGAACAAGAAGGTACTAAGGGGCTTCAGGCCTTACTACTAGGAGCAAGGACGCTACTAGGGGCTCCTGTCATCGCTACTAGGAGCAAGGACGCTATTAGTAGCTCTTGGCATTACTACTATATTTAGTAGCAACAAGAAGCTATTAGTAACAAGTGCCACGCTACTAGTAACAAGTGCCTTACTAGTAGTAACAAGAAGCTATTAGGAACATTTCTTCTTAGATTTCAAGAAAGCTCCCCACCTTCGCCTTTAGGGCGGAGATCTTCCTTGAAGAAGCGTGAGCTATGCTGCGTCCAGCCAGTGGATCCTGCCCTTAATTAAGTAGGCGCCTACTCAATTAAGTAGGGGGGCAGAGTGGCTCCCCAACAAAAAAGACGTTTCCCCTTCAGTTACAATAACTTGTCAAACTGGGCATTGTCGGGGCTGTGTATTTATGTGCGATTACTTATGTGATAGGTGCATGCTGTCGTCCTTTTTGCTTGTACTGCCCGGGGCCATTTCATTTGCTCAGCTGTTTGCTGAAGCAAAAGTAGAAAAAGCGCTACTCAGCTGCAAAGAAACTTGTGTTGTTGTTTTTTGACGGTGACCAGATTTGCTACAAAAAAGAGACGCTTTGCAATTGGAACCTTCACACTGAATCCGCACTCCGTTGTTGCCTGGAGACCTTTAGACCTTTCCTTTTTGTGTTGTTTTCATTCTTTTGACTTTGTATTTAGACCTGTAGACTGTTCCCTGTTCCTTGTTTATCTTTTCTCTAGCCAAAAGCAGATGGCCAACAATTGGAATGCCTTTTGTACGTGCGCTTCCCTGCTGCTTGAGTCCTCCTCTGAGGTGGGAAAAAAGCTTTGATGGTAAGCAAGTACGCGGGCGTTCTCAGATTGTCGAATGAAGCAACAGCTCCGTGACAGCCTTCACCACGGCATTTTTAGGAAGGTGAGTTCCCGAGGCTACTTGGGGGTTGAATACTGTTAAATACCGCAGCCGTTTTGGATCAAGCCAATTTGGCTCAAGCCGCTAGAGTACATGGACTATATGGTTCGATTGGGTTTCCTTGGAGAAAGCTGAGGCAGGCATTTTCGCTCAAGGCATGGAGATTCAAGCACTCTCTGGTGCCACAGTTTCCCAGCTTCATCAGGAGGATCTACTCTGCATGGCGGAGAGTGGACAATCTGTAAAGGATCTGAAAAGGCTCCTCGCCGGAGAGGTTGGATACTCGAGATTTCGACAAAGACTCTTCAGTGAGGAGATGGGCGAGCTACAGGATGATATGCCTGTCAGAAAGCTACCAAGTTTGCAGTTGGTAATCTTGGACTTCTGTGCACCTGAGGAGGCGAACTCGGAGGCGCTACTCCTTGCGCGTCAGAACAATCGAGTTGTTGAAGTTGAACAGTTGCTTCAGAAACCACTGGATCCCAATAGCAGAGGCACGGGCCCCCCACCTGTGTTGCCCATGTCTTCTGCGGCGGCACAGGGCTATTTGGAAGTGGTACGGCTGTTGCTCGAGGCCGGAGCTGACAAGAATGCTGCAATGCAAGACGAGGCAACCGCCTTGATTCTTGCAGCTCAGAATGGCCACTTGGAAGTGGTGCGGGTTTTGCTCGAGGCTGGAGCCGACAAGAATGCTGCAATGCAAGATGGGGCAACCGCCTTGATGTTTGCAGCTCACGATGGCCACTTGGAAGTGGTGCAGGTGTTGCTCGAGGCTGGAGCTGACAAGAATGCTGCAAAGTAAAATGGGGCTCACTATGTCTAAACTTTTCTTTCGCATTTTTTAAAATTGCACTAGATCAGACTGAGTCTCCGGGCTTGTGACACGGACCTCAAGAGGATAGAGCATAGAGCATTAGTAGAGCATTGTATTTTAAGCATTTTGTTCCTAGTAGCTTCTTGTTACTACTAGTAAGGCACCTGTTACTACTAGCGTGGCACCTGTTACTAGTAGCGAACCTTGTTACTATGCCCGAGGTCCCTCCACACCAGCGGAACGGCACGGCGGGGTCCGCGCCAGAGGCTGATCGAAATGCCGGGGAAGCCTAGATGGTTCAGAAGACATTATCGTCGATACGGTAGGATACGCCAAAGCGGGCCAACACGTTTTTGACATAATATATTTCTGGAAGACAGAAAGAGGCAAGTGAGGTCAGAAAGAGAGGAAAGCACGAAAGGTCTAAAATGGAAAGGTCTGAAACACTGCAAGTGAAAGAACGCGACTAGGAGCAAAGGGCATCGCTACTAGGAGCAAGATCGCTACTAGGGGCTCCTGGCCTTACTACTAGGAACAAGAAGCTATTAGGGGCTCCTGGCATCGCTACCAGGAGCAAGGACGCTACTATTGGAGGAAGAACGAAAAGGAACAATTCTAGGACAGTTCTCAGACGGCACATGGGGTTCCAGGCGAGTGGACGCTCTGAGCTGGGAACCAAGTCCAGAATGCACAGTCAGACACAATCTCGTTGAGGTCTAAAGCGGTGTATTGTAGTAGTAATGCCAGGAGTGCCCCTAGCAACTTAGTAGCTTCTTTTTACTAATAGTGATGCCAGGAGCCCCTAGTAGCCTCCTTGCTCCCAGGAGCCCCTACTAGCTTCTTGTTCCTGGTAATTACATTTCCATTACAAAAGGTAGCGTCAGCTACTTGGGGTCCATTTCGCAAGCCTTGCCATGGCCACAACATGGACACTATAAGGTATTCGCCACAAGTGGACATGTGTTCCGCACTCGCATGATTGATTCATTTTTGATTTTAGGGAAGCTTACTATTCTTCCTAGATTCTTTTCTTCGCAGACCCTGCTAGGCCATACTAAGCCCCTGCATTTTTTGACTGCTTTTTTGGAATAGACGCTACCCATTGGCTTGTGGCCAAATTGACTCGACTTTGTTTGAGGCGCGGCAAGGGAGGTGGAGGCGGACTGAGCAGAAATGTCGGAATTGCTGGAGGAACCTTTTAACATGTGGTAAATGCACTTGTTACTACTAGTAAGGCACTTGTTCCTAGAAGCGATGCACTTGTTCCTAGTAGCTTTATGAAATTCCGAGTCCCCAAAGCTTTGCTCATTGCTATTAGGGTGGAGCGCTATTAGGGTGGAGGCCATCGCTAGTAGGTTCCCTTGTCTTCGAATGCTGGTTCCAGGTTACCCAAGGGACAGGGACGGCAGTAGCCTTGCTCCCAGTGGCAGCGTCGACATTGGAAAAGTTTAGGGCAGGAGTCAAACGAAGGTGGAACGCTCCTTGATGTTTTTGAAACATGCAATTCCTTCACTTCTTCTTGTTCCATTTTTGTAAAGACGCATGGATAGACATAAGTGACATAGTGGATATTGGAATTTCAGTGCCAAAAGCTGCCATAGCTGGCCCTGACCATCTACCATTTGAGGCTTCGAGGGCAAGGGCCACGATGGCAAGGGAGGAAAGTCCTTCCCTCAGGACCTGGCGACAAAGTGAAACATGAAGGAGCTGCTAGTAGCGTCCTTGCTCCTTTGGCAAAGGCTTAGGTGGCTTAGCTGCTGCCCATGCCACTATGTTTACTTACAATCTTACTTGCTGTACAGGCCCTTTTCGTGGAAGGAGCTGACAGTGAAGTTTTGTGCCGAATGACGGTGCCCTCCAACATACTAGCGATGGCCTCCAGGTCTAAAGAAAACTTTTTGATGAGTCCTTGCAAGAAAGTTTTTTCGATCACAGGGGGCACTCACTTACGTTAGTCTGTTTAGTATTTTAATTGAATTCCTACCCGGAGTCGGCAACCTTCATTCCTTAGATCACTAAGTGTGATGCCTGAACATCCTTTTACAGACTCGTCATGTGCTTGCAGGTCTGAGAATAGTGAACGGTATGGAGAACAGAAGAAGAGCAGCGATCTTGGCGGGCAAAGCAGAAGAACATGCGGATGTCTTGACTTTGAGATCGCCTGGTGTAGCAATGTAAGGCAGCACAACAGTTGTTCGACATGTTTTAAAAGCCTTTAGTCGCTTTTCCTGGTCAATGATCGTGTTTCAATGCTGGCAAAAACGAACAAAACTGGCCCATTGCATGCTCATTGCCCATGGAGGCCATCGCTATTAGGTTGGAGGCCATCGCTAGTAGGATAGTCTCCCGAGGCACCGTTTTCCAGATGCAGGGAGCCGGCGGCGATTGGTCCGAACGCAGAACTTGAGAGCTGACGGAATTCAATTGGAATCTCCACAATGATTGAACTGATTGAACTCATGACATGTTTGAAGACCACCTAAGGATGTGAAACAGTGTGAACCCATCATGTACAAATTAGTGCATCCTGCCGAATTTTCAACCTCTGTTAGGTTGGAGGCCATCACTATTGAGTTTCTTTTTTTCCCTCTATTTTATTTTGTTTTTCTTTTCT